GTGGCTTAGGACAATGCTTCTGACAAATCATCATCATAGACTCAGACCTACTAGCGTTAACTAGTAATTATAACAACTACTATAATATTGATTAATATTAACAATTACAATAACTACAAGTTATAACTGTCCTAGCACTAACTAACCGGAGCTAATAATTTTGACAGTAACTAACAATTATAATACTTAGTAAGCACTGATGCAGCACCCGACACCACGCCAGGCACCAGGCAAGTTACTTCCTAAGTCCTCGCAGCCTGTCGGGTGAGTGCTATGCGGGTCCTCGTTTTACAGGTAAGGAAATCCAGGCTTTGCAAGGTGAAATGACCTTCCCAAGGTCACGCGGTTCCAAGTGGCACCAAAACATTTGCTCAGGGAACAGGAATTAACCTGACTTGTCCAAGATCCTGGAATGAACGATACCCATCCAGGCCCTCCGAGGCTAACTACATCAAGCTCAACCTTCAGGAACGTAGGATATCAAATAACCCTAAAAACCCACCAGTGTATTCACTGTCTCCGGAAGGATGACCTGGTCTACATGAGATGAGAAGCTGGCAGGTCAGTGATAAAGTGTCCAGCGGTGAATACCAACAGCATGTTTAAAGCCCACCAAGACCATTGTCCTCCAAAATTCGTTTCACCTAAATAATCCAAAAATGTGTGCTCACTGCAGGTCAACCAAGAGTTTCTGAGGTCAGCCACGGCCACGGAAGGTTTTGAGTTTTTACATCTGGAACTTTCACTGCAGGTCAACCAAGAGTTTCTGAGGTCAGCCACAGCCCCGGAAGGTTTTGCAGTTTTTACATCTGGAACTTCTCCTCGTTTTTTCTGTTAAAAGATGTTCTAGAAATCACTAGACACTTGCTGCTCAGTTGGGCTCAGAACAGACACCCAGCTCCCTTCTCTGGTTTTCGGCTCGCCCTCTCTGGAAACGGTGAACTCAGAGTGGGGGCATTCGCCAGCGGCCCGGGGAACTGCTCCGCCAGCGGCTCACCTGGGGCATGGTCCCCGGCTGCGTGAGCCTGAAACCCTAGCTGCCCCGAGATGTCAGGGAGCTGGATATAAAAGGAAACACCCCCTCGCTGGTCTCCAACTCTCAGGATTAATCAAACCCTTTTCTCTCCACAGCCTCCCAAACGTCTGCTAAAATGCTGGTGGAAATGTCGGTACCAAAGCCTGAATCACCGTCCACCGCCCCTGTGTCTGAAGGCAGGTCTGTCTCTCTTGCCCAGAATGAAGGCTGGGATTGGACAGACGAGGGGCGATTCCCAGCCGGGTCCGGAGGAAAAAGCAATGCAAGGAGGTCGGCTTTGAGGGCCCATGTTGGGTCTGCTCGGATGCCTAGAGCGTTTAAAACTGGGGCCTGAGCGATGTTTGCTCCTGCAGCTGTGACATCATCTTCCTCAAATAATAGCATTACACACGCTAATGGTACACTTTCGGTATGGTTCCTGCACACACAAGTAATTTCACCCAGGAGTCATTTTAGGAATCTGGCTCTCCTAGCTCCAAAGATGTTACACAATGTGTCATATTTGTTTGCAACTTTTATCGATCTTGCAGGATGAATGGCAAAAACACTCCACACCAAAACAAAAAAATCTTTGATTCTAGAATATATGCGACCCAACAGGACACGCACACTCGATAAACATCCTAGAATCAAGCACGCCCCCTCCCTCGTGCCTCTTCTCGCACCGGCTTACACACTTCACACACTTCTCCAACACAAGCGCAGGACGCAGGGCTGCCCGGAGCCCGGCTGGCTCACCCCTCACCCAGAAACTTAGAGCCCGCGCGGGGCGCCCCACGCCTTTCCCAGGAAAACAGGTTAGGAAACACGCCCACACATTCCATCCGACACCTACCGCTATGGACCCAGAAGATGTGGCAACAAACACTTTGATAACCATTTCGACAGCCGGAAAGAGGACTCCCCCCAACACACCCCCGTGACGGAGCGGGGCGCTAGACAAATCCTGAGCGCGCGCCGGGCGGGGCTGGCCGGCCCTGCGCTCCCTGCGCTCCTCTGCGCCCCTGCCCCGCCTGCCGCAGCTGAAGCTCGGCCTCTCCCCGGAGCAGCCCAGGCATCCTGGCCTGTCCCTGCCATTGGCCCGGGAATATTTGGGGACCTGTCAGGAAAATATTTGATTGGTTGATAAAAGCAGTGCCTGGACCCTTTCCCTTATCACTGTAAACGCCCGACGACAGTCCCTAAAAGGCGAGGCTGCACTGCGCACCAATCAGAGCCCTGGGCACAGATGCCTTGGGATGGAGGGGGGTGGGGCGCGGGGCGGAGGCGGCAGGGAGAGGGGAGGCGCTGGTGGGGGCTGGAAAGGCCCAGAACACAGCGGCTCGGGGTTCGGAAAGGGCTGTGTGTACAGGGCTGCTGGCAAACACACGGGGAGGTCAGAATAGCCACAAAGGCTTCAAAGAAAGAAAGAGCAGCTTCCTTCCCTTAGGAGTCTGGCAGATGAGAAAGAAAGCCGGTGAGCTGCCATACAATAGATTTCTTCCGAGTGGCCCCTTTCCACTTTGTCCCTTTACCACCTGTTTCTCTTAAAGAACAGAAACTGGCAGGTCGTGGACGGGTAAGGTTTCACTGACATCCCAGACAAGGCCAGGAGAGGCGGCTGGCCGGTCGGTACAAGCACTTCAACAAGCAAACAAATTGTCCTCACTATGCGGGGGCGGGGAGCGGGGGGTGCGTGTGTAAATGATCCGTTTGTAACAGGCCCTATCCATCTTATGTATATAGATCACTTACTTATGTTCAAAGTGGGAGGAATTTAAACTCCAGCAAAGCCCAGATGCTAGGCGCCAACTCTTCTGATGGGTTTCAACGGCCAGATCAGGGGCATTGGAGGCAAAGGCCCCCTGGGGGATATCCATTCCTCTTGGATAAAAGTCCCCTGCTCCTCCTGGAGGAGGGGGCACTGGCTTCTAGAATAGGGAGGGATGTCAGGCTTATGCACGCACGGCCAGGCCCCTTCACCAAAGCCCCAGAGGCCTGGGGGCCTGCTCTCCTCCCGCCCAGGCGGGCGCCTTGGATGTGAAAGGTTCCCTGTCCCTGGCATACAGCTCAGATTCATTTACATGCGTGAGACGACTCCACCGCGATGTAACCAGAGCCTCGACATGCCAGGTTAACTACTCCCCAAAGCAGGCCCGGGTGAAGATGATTAGTGGTGCCCCAAGTTTAAGACATTAGCTGTGTAAATGTTATTTTAAAGTCTACCATAGATCATAGGTCATTGTTGCTTTTCTTTTATTTTCAAAATTTCTACAATGAGTATGTACGATTTTGTCATATGAAATACTTTTTTTTTGCCCAGCCTGTGTGGCTCAGTGGTAGAGTAACACCCCTCCCATCTGCATGCCCTCAGAAATAAATTTATTTGAAATGATAGCTAACAATGTGTAGGTGTTTGCCCGTGCCAGACCTGCTCTAAGTGCTTTGCATAAACCACTCCCTTCATCCTCACAAACACCCTAAAACTGGGCTCTATGATTGTCTCTCCTCCAGATGAGGACTTAGAACTGGAGCTGATGAGCACAGTGAATAGTTTATCCAATACTTGAACTAAACACATTCATCTCCACACCACACCAGAAAAATTCCTGACAAGCTACCCTCAAATTCCCAGAGCTCCCTTTTTTCACTATGAATTACTTTTAGAAGTTTATCCTTTTAATAATGCCATGAAAATGTACAAATTAGCAACTTGAAAACTCTAGCTGAAAGGTCTTTTAACTTATTACAGGGACACCAATGAGCTTCAAGATAACAGGAATACCAAACATTCCAAAGGAGTCCTAAAATAAAGCTCAATGTCTCTCAGACCGCAGATGCACTTCAGAAATAAGCTGCCTGATCCACTGGGGACGCAGGAGGCTAACCCTTTCACATCCCTAGTCCTTGATGTTCAAGTCAGAGAACAATACTTTCAGGTTTGACCCAATTTTTTAAAAAATATATTTTATTGATTTTTTACAGAGAGGAAGGGAGAGGGATAGAGAGTTAGAAACATCAATGAGAGAGAAACATTGTCAGCTGCCTCCTGCACACTCCCCACTGGGGATGTGCCCGCAACCAAGGTACATGCCCTTGACCGGAATCGAACCGGGACCCTTGAGTCCGCAGGCCGATGCTCTATCCACTGACATAAACCAGTCAGGGCTTGACCCAATTTTTTAACAGAATTTTCTCTTTTTTCCAGCCTTATTGAGGTACTAGAGGCCTGGTGCACAGATTCGTGCACCGGTGGGGTCCCTTGGAGTGGCCTGCAGGGTCGGCCAAAACCAGCAGTCCAACATCACCCAAGGGATGTAGTAGCGCGTGAAGCGGCAGGTGATGGGGGAGGAGCCTGAGCCCGGGTGGGTACCACGCCGCTCCCGCTCATCACGGCCCCACTGCGCCTGCCGCCACCGCTCAGTAGGCTCACTGCTGCAGCTGCACTCGCCAGCTCTGGCGCCCATCGGTCAGCTGAGCAGCGCTCCCACTGCAGGAGTGCACTGACCACCAGGGGACAGCTCCTGCATTGAGCGTCTGCCCCCTGGTGGTCAGTGCACGTCATAGCGACTGGTTGACTGGTCACAACCATCGCAACCGAACCAATGACCAAACAGACTACATGGGGGAACTAGGCCAGCAGGGGGGTCAGTGAGGGGCGACCAACCAAGCGCAGGCTGCGTGGGGCGACCAGGCCAGCAGAGGGTCAGTGAGGGACGACCAAATGACCGAGCAACAGGCAGCATGGGGCAACCAGGCCAGTTGGGGGGAGGCAGTTGGGGCAACCAGGCCGGTATGGGGGCAC